ACTATGTGATCACGCTCTCTGTAGCCGATGCGAGTAAGACTTTTAAGCAGGTCAACATTCACAAGGCCGCAGGGCCAGACGGATTACCAGGACGTGTACTCCGAGCATGTGCTGACCAACTGGCAAGTGTCTTCACGGACATTTTCAACATGTCCCTGACTGACTCTGTAATACCAACATGTTTCAAGCAGACCACCATAGTCCCTGTGCCCAAGGACACTAAGGTAACCTGCCTAAATGACTACTGACCCATAGCACTCATGTCTGTAGCCATGAAGTGCTTTGAAACGCATGGCTCACATCAACACCATTATCCCAGAAACCCTAGACCCAGTCCAATTTGCATACCGCCCCAACAGATCCACAGATGATGCAGTCTCTATTGCACTCCACACTGCCCTTTCCCACCTGGACAAGAGGAACACCTACGTGAGAATAATATTCATTGACTACAGCTCAACGTTCAACACCATAGTGCCCACAAAGCTCATCACTAAGGACCCAAGGACTAAACACCTCCCTCTGCAACTGGATCCTGGACTTACTGACAGGCCGCCCCCAGGTGGTAAGGGTAGGCAACAACACATCTGCCACACTGATCCTCAACACGGGGGCCCCTCAGGGGTGCGTGCTCAGTCCCCTCCTGTACTCCCTGCTCACCCATGACTGCATGGCCAAGCACGACTCCAACACCATCATTAAGTTTGCTGACGACACAACAGTGGTAGGCCTGATCACCGACAATGATGAGACAGCCTATAGGGAGGAGGTCAGAGACCTGGCCGTGTGGTGCCAGGATAACAACCTCTCCCTCAACATGATCAAGACAAAGGAGATGATTGTGGCTACAGGAAAAAAAAGAGGACTGAGCACGCCCCCATTCTCATCAACGGGGCTGTAGTGGAGCAGGTTGAGAGCTTCAAGTTCCTTGGTGTCCACATCACCAATTAACTATCATGGTCCAAACACACCAAGGCACGACAAAGCCTATTCCCCCTCAGGAGACTGAAAAGAGTTGGCATGGGTCCTCAGATCCTCAAAAAGTTATACAGCTGCACCATCGAGAGCATCCTGACTGGTTGCATCACCGCTGCTACTCTGTTAATTATTTATGCATAGTCACTTTAACTCTACCCACATGTACATATGACCTCAATTACCTCGACTAACCGGTGCCCCCGCACATTGACTCTGTCCCGGTACCCCCCTGTATATAGCCTCCCTACTGTTATTTCCCATTGACTCTGTACCGGTACCCCCCTGTATATAGCCTCCCTACTGTTATTTCCCATTGACTCTGTACCGGTACCCCCTGTATATAGCCTCCCTACTGTTATTTCCCATTGACTCTGTACCGGTACCCCCTGTATATAGCCTCCCTACTGTTATTACACATTGGACTCTGTACCGGTACCCCCTGTATATAGCCTCCCTACTGTTATTTCCCATTGACTCGGTAACGGTACCCCCTGTATATAGCCTCCCTACTGTATTTCCCATTGACTCTGTACCGGTCCCCCCTGTATATAGCCTCCCTACTGTTATTTCCCATTGACTCTGTACCGGTACCCCCTGATATAGCCTCCCTACTGTTATTTCCCATTGACTCTGTACCGGTACCCCCTGTATATAGCCTCCCTACTGTTATTTCCCATTGACTCTGTACCGGTACCCCCTGTATATAGCCTCCCTACTGTTATTTCCCATTGACTCTGTACCGGTACCCCCCTGTATATAGCCTCCCTACTGTTATTTCCCATTGACTCTGTACCGGTACCCCCCTGTATATAGCCTCCCTACTGTTATTTCCCATTGACTCTGTACCGGTACCCCCCTGTATATAGCCTCCCTACTGTTATTTCACATTGACTCTGTACCGGTACCCCCTGTATATAGCCTCCCTACTGTTATTTCACATTGACTCTGTACCGTACCCCTGTATATAGCCTCCTATGTTATTTCCCATTGACTCTGTACCGGTACCCCCTGTATATAGCCTCCCTACTGTTATTTCACATTGACTCTGTACCGGTACCCCCCTGTATATAGCCTCTCTACTGTTATTTCACATTGACTCTGTACCGGTACCCCCTGTATATAGCCTCCCTACTGTTATTTTATTTTACTGCTGCTCTTTAGCTATTTGCTTTTATTTTCAATTTTTCTTTAACACTTTTTAATTTTACATTTTTCTTTAAAAAAACTGCATTGTTGGTAAGTAAGCATGTAACTGTAATGTCTACTCCTGCTGTATTCGGCGCATATGGCAAATACATTTAGATTTGATTTGATTTGAAAGTGACTGCCACCCTCACTGACAAAGGCTCCAATTTTTAAAAGTTTTTTTTAATGGTTTTTAAAATGGCTGATTCTGAGGATGAAGAAGAAGAGAGGAGTGGATTCTGACAAAGACGACAACCAACAGATTGTTCTCCCGCCACATCACAGGTGCGGGACCAACACCCTCAATCTTATACTGAACAGAAAATGTAACGCAACATGCAAAAATGTCAAAGATTTTACTGAGCTACAGTTCATATAAGGAAATCAGTCATTTTAAATAAATAAATTAGGCCCTAATCTATGGATTTCACATGACTGGGCAGGGGAGTGCAGACTGCACAGCCTGGGAGGGCATAGGCCCAGCCACTGGGAAGCCAGGCCCAGCCACTAGGGAGCCAGGCCCACCCACTGGGGAGCCAGGCCCAGCCACTAGGGAGCCAGACCCAACCACTAGGGAGCCAGGCCCAGCCACTGGGGAGCCGGAGCCAGGCCCAGCCACTAGGGAGCCAGGCCCAACCACTAGGGAGCCAGACCCAGCCACTGGGGAGCCAGACCCAGCCACTGGGGAGCCAGGCCCAGCCACTAGGGAGCCAGGCCCAACCACTAGGGAGCCAGGCCCAGCCAGGCCCAGCCACTGGGAAGCCCAGGCCCAGCCAACTGGGACCGCCAGGCCCCAGCCACTGGGAAGCCAGGCCCAGCCACTGGGGAGCCAGGCCCAGCCACTGGGAGCCAGGCCCAGCCACTGGGAAGCCAGGCCCACCCACTGGGGAGCCAGGACCCAGCCACTGGGAAGCCAGGCCCAGCCAATCAGAATGAGTTTTTCCCCACAACGGGGCTTTATTACAGACAGAAATACTCCTCAGTTCCATCAGCTGTCCGGGTGGTTGGTCTCAGATGATCCCGCAGGTGAAGAAGCCGGATGTGGAGGTCCTGGGCTGGCGTGGTTACACGTGGTCGGCGGTTGTGAGGCTGGTTGGACGTACAGCCACATTTTCTAAAACAACGTTGGAGGTGGCTTATGGTAGAGAAATGAACATAACATTCTGGCAACAGCTCTGGTCGACATTCCTGCAGTCAGCACCCCACTCAAAACTTGAGACATCTGTGGCATTGTGTTGTGTGACAAAACTGCACATTTTAGATTGGCCTTTTATTGTCCCAGCACAAGCTGCACCTGTGTAATGATCATGCTGTTTAATCAGCTTCTTGATATGCCACACCTGTCAGGTGGATGGATTATCTTGGCAAAGGAGAAATGCTCACTAACAGGGATGTAAACAAAGTTGTGCACAAAATTTGAGAGAAATACGATTTTTGTGCGTATGGAACATTTCTGGGATCTTTTATTTCAGCTTATGAAACATGGGACCAATACTTTAGATGTTGCGTTTATATTTTTGTTCAGTATAGATAACTTGTCGACAAGTTAAAGAATGTGATTAAGCTCAGACGGAACTGTCCAAGCAGTAGATACATCTCCTTTAAATGTTGATATTTAAAGAAGCTCTCGAAAAACAATGATACCATTGCTTCACAATAAAACATATTTGAAACAAAATGTTGATAATTGGTTGCGTTGTCAATAAATAACCTTAGTTCTTACAAACTAATGTAACAATCAACCTTGAAATGAGTAACACATCCATTGCCACATTTTGAGGTTAATGTAAATATATAAATGTCTCCTTATGTAATCATATAAAGCTTGCATGTTCAAGACAGCATGCAAAGGTTGCAAGTCGTGGAAATCTTCACAATTGTTGTAATAATCTGCACAGAACCTCAAACAGCATTGCTCACTTGCACTATGTACTTTAATGAAATCTCAGCTGCAGTCCAGGTAATTTCCCACTGGGCAAAAACTAGTTGAATCAACAAAGTTGGTTCTACAATAAAAAACTAAACAATCAATGTGATGACGTTGAATCAATGTGGAAAACTGATTGGATTAACAAAAAGTCATCAACTTAAGGGAATTTGGTATTTTCTTCAACCAACTTTTAACCTAAATCCAATGACATGGGACATTTTCTGCTGATTTCACGTTAAATTCACATTAGTTGACAACTCATCCAATGTAAATCAAAACTAGACATTGAGCTGACAGCATTTGGGTAACTACTAAACCAAAAATCTGACATTGTTTTTCCATTGGAATGTGGTTGTGCTTTTAGATGGTTGAAAGCATATTGATAACACATTGGAAATTCAACTAACTTTTGGATGTCTTGTTGAGTGGGTGAATATAGGTTGTAATCTCATTAATCAACGTCTCAACCAAATATTACCCAATTATCCAAGTTGAAATGACGTGGTGTGTCCAGTGGGACGGACGCAGATTATTATCTAACTTTGCTAGTTTGACCCTGTCATTTCAGAACTGGCGGCTAGAATATTCTCTGAGAGTGAAGTCCGTCTACCTGAGTGTATCTATCAGGAGGTGATCTATGAGGTCAAACTGAGATGGACTAGGTTATATATATCTATCTCTAGGTGAGGTCAAACTGAGATGGCATATTGTGGTGAGGTCAAACTGAGATGGCATATTGTGGTGAGGTCAAACTGAGATGGCATATTGTGGTGAGGTCAAACTGAGATGGCATATTGTGGTGAGGTCAAACTGAGATGGCATATTGTGGTGAGGTCAAACTGAGATGGCATATTGTGGTGAGGTCAAACAGAGATGATGTGTTGTAGCAGGATTGTAACAGGACTCCATGGCTGTGGCACCACAGGTGTGTGAAGAGAAGACCTCAGTAACAGGCATGCAGCATACTCTATAGTTGGGTTCTCTGTTCTCTCTGTCACATTTTAAATCAATGATAAGATGAGGAGGTAGTGCCTACCAGAGCCTACCTGGACCAATGACATAAAATGTTTTCAACAGGAGAGGTGGAGCTGTTGTCACAAATCCAAGCCTCTGTCTCTATCTGAAGAGAAGTCAGGAGAGTTGAAACACCAACTTGTCTATGGACATCCTACAGGAAACAGAGAAGAGGTTTAGTAATGTGGTTTGGTGATGTGTTTTTAATTTATTGAAGTTAGTCCATAACCAGTTGCTGTCATGTTGTTGATTTCTGATGTAACGCTCCGTGAGGTCTGAGGAATAATGGACAACATGACTAAAGATGTTATGGACAAAAATGTCACCAAAAAATATGACTAAACATCACCAAAACCAAGTTGATGCTCTGTCCTCAGGGAGAGTTACATCAGTGGCCAGAACAATAACATTCTGTGACAGAAAAGTCCCCAGAGGTCTCCAGTGACTGACTGCCCTTCTAAAGTCCCCAGAGGTCTCCAGTGACTGACTGCCCTCTAAAGTCCCCAGAGGTCTCCAGTGACTGACTGCCCTTCTCAAGTCCCCAGAGGTCTCCAGTGACTGACTGCCCTCTAAAGTCCCCAGAGGTCTCCAGTGACTGACTGCCCTTCTAAAGTCCCCAGAGGTCTCCAGTGACTGACTGCCCTTCTAAAGTCCCCAGAGGTCTCCAGTGACTGACTGCCTTCTAAAGTCCCCAGAGGTCTCCAGTGACTGACTGCCCTTCTAAAGTCCCCAGAGGTCTCCAGTGACTGACTGCCCTTCTAAAGTCCCCAGAGGTCTCCAGTGACTGACTGCCCTTCTAAAGTCCCCAGAGGTCTCCAGTGACTGACTGCCCTTCTAAAGTCCCCAGAGGTCTCCGGTGACTGACTGCCCTTCTAAAGTCCCCAGAGGTCTCCAGTGACTGACTGCCCTTCTAAAGTCCCCAGAGGTCTCCAGTGACTGACTGCCCTTCTAAAGTCCCCAGAGGTCTCCAGTGACTGACTGCCCTTCTAAAGTCCCCAGAGGTCTCCGGTGACTGACTGCCCTTCTAAAGTCCCCAGAGGTCTCCAGTGACTGACTGCCCTTCTAAAGTCCCCAGAGGTCTCCAGTGACTGACTGCCCTTCTAAAGTCCCCAGAGGTCTCCAGTGACTGACTGCCCTTCTAAAGTCCCCAGAGGTCTCCAGTGACTGACTGCCCTCTAAAGTCCCCAGAGGTCTCCAGTGACTGACTGCCCTTCTAAAGTCCCCAGAGGTCTCCAGTGACTGACTGCCCTTCTAAAGTCCCCAGAGGTCTCCAGTGACTGACTGCCCTTCTAAAGTCCCCAGAGGTCTCCAGTGACTGACTGCCCTTCTAAAGTCCCCAGAGGTCTCCAGTGACTGACTGCCCTTCTAAAGTCCCCAGAGGTCTCCAGTGACTGACTGCCTTCTAAAGTCCCCAGAGGTCTCCAGTGACTGACTGCCCTTCTAAAGTCCCCAGAGGTCTCCAGTGACTGACTGCCCTTCTAAAGTCCCCAGAGGTCTCCAGTGACTGACTGCCCTTCTAAAGTCCCCAGAGGTCTCCGGTGACTGACTGCCCTTCTAAAGTCCCCAGAGGTCTCCAGTGACTGACTGCCCTTCTAAAGTCCCCAGAGGTCTCCAGTGACTGACTGCCCTTCTAAGTCCCCAGAGGTCTCCAGTGACTGACTGCCCTTCTAAAGTCCCCAGAGGTCTCCAGTGACTGACTGCCCTTCTAAAGTCCCCAGAGGTCTCCGGTGACTGACTGCCCTTCTAAAGTCCCCAGAGGTCTCCAGTGACTGACTGCCCTTCTAAAGTCCCCAGAGGTCTCCAGTGACTGACTGCCCTTCTAAAGTCCCCAGAGGTCTCCAGTGACTGACTGCCTTCTAAAGTCCCCAGAGGTCTCCAGTGACTGACTGCCCTTCTAAAGTCCCCAGAGGTCTCCAGTGACTGACTGCCCTTCTAAAGTCCCCAGAGGTCTCCAGTGACTGACTGCCTTCTAAAGTCCCCAAGGTCTCCAGTGACTGACTGCCCTTCTAAAGTCCCCAGAGGTCTCCAGTGACTGACTGCCTTCTAAAGTCCCCAGAGGTCTCCAGTGACTGACTGCCCTTCTAAAGTCCCCAGAGGTCTCCAGTGACTGACTGCCCTTCTAAAGTCCCCAGAGGTCTCCAGTGACTGACTGCCTTCTAAAGTCCCCAGAGGTCTCCAGTGACTGACTGCCCTTCTAAAGTCCCCAGAGGTCTCCAGTGACTGACTGCCTTCTAAAGTCCCCAGAGGTCTCCAGTGACTGACTGCCCTTCTAAAGTCCCCAGAGGTCTCCAGTGACTGACTGCCCTCTAAAGTCCCCAGAGGTCTCCAGTGACTGACTGCCCTTCTAAAGTCCCCAGAGGTCTCCAGTGACTGACTGCCCTTCTAAAGTCCCCAGAGGTCTCCAGTGACTGACTGCCTTCTAAAGTCCCCAGAGGTCTCCAGTGACTGACTGCCCTTCTAAAGTCCCCAGAGGTCTCCAGTGACTGACTGCCCTTCTAAAGTCCCCAGAGGTCTCCAGTGACTGACTGCCTTCTAAAGTCCCCAGAGGTCTCCAGTGACTGACTGCCCTTCTAAAGTCCCCAGAGGTCTCCGGTGACTGACTGCCCTTTTAAAGTCCCCAGAGGTCTCCAGTGACTGACTGCCCTTCTAAAGTCCCCAGAGGTCTCCAGTGACGGACTGCCCTTCTAAAGTCCCCAGAGGTCTCCAGTGACTGACTGCCCTTCTAAAGTCCCCAGAGGTCTCCAGTGACTGACTGCCTTCTAAAGTCCCCAGAGGTCTCCAGTGACTGACTGCCCTTCTAAAGTCCCCAGAGGTCTCCAGTGACTGACTGCCCTTCTAAAGTCCCCAGAGGTCTCCAGTGACTGACTGCCTTCTAAAGTCCCCAGAGGTCTCCAGTGACTGACTGCCCTTCTAAAGTCCCAGAGGTCTCCAGTGACTGACTGCCCTTCTAAAGTCCCCAGAGGTCTCCAGTGACTGACTGCCCTCTAAAGTCCCCAGAGGTCTCCAGTGACTGACTGCCCTTCTCAAGTCCCCAGAGGTCTCCAGTGACTGACTGCCCTCTAAAGTCCCCAGAGGTCTCCAGTGACTGACTGCCCTTCTAAAGTCCCCAGAGGTCTCCAGTGACTGACTGCCCTTCTAAAGTCCCCAGAGGTCTCCAGTGACTGACTGCCCTTCTAAAGTCCCCAGAGGTCTCCAGTGACTGACTGCCCTTCTAAAGTCCCCAGAGGTCTCCAGTGACTGACTGCCTTCTAAAGTCCCCAGAGGTCTCCAGTGACTGACTGCCCTTCTAAAGTCCCCAGAGGTCTCCAGTGACTGACTGCCCTTCTAAAGTCCCCAGAGGTCTCCAGTGACTGACTGCCCTTCTAAAGTCCCCAGAGGTCTCCGGTGACTGACTGCCCTTCTAAAGTCCCCAGAGGTCTCCAGTGACTGACTGCCCTTCAAAAGTCCCCAGAGGTCTCCAGTGACTGACTGCCCTTCTAAAGTCCCCAGAGGTCTCCAGTGACTGACTGCCCTTCTAAAGTCCCCAGAGGTCTCCAGTGACTGACTGCCCTCTAAAGTCCCCAGAGGTCTCCAGTGACTGACTGCCCTTCTAAAGTCCCCAGAGGTCTCCAGTGACTGACTGCCCTTCTAAAGTCCCCAGAGGTCTCCAGTGACTGACTGCCTTCTAAGTCCCCAGAGGTCTCCATGACTGACTGCCTTCTAAAGTCCCCAGAGGTCTCCAGTGACTGACTGCCCTTCTAAAGTCCCCAGAGGTCTCCAGTGACTGACTGCCCTTCTAAAGTCCCCAGAGGTCTCCGGTGACTGACTGCCCTTCTAAAGTCCCCAGAGGTCTCCGGTGACTGACTGCCCTTCTAAAGTCCCCAGAGGTCTCCAGTGACTGACTGCCCTTCTAAAGTCCCCAGAGTGTCTCCAGTGACTGACTGCCCTTCTAAAGTCCCCAGAGGTCTCCAGTGACTGACTTGCCCTTCTAAAGTCCACAGAGGTCTCTCAAGGACTGACTGCCCTCTAAAGTCCCAGGTCTCCAGTGACTGACTGCCTTCTAAGTCCCGAGAGGTCTCCAGTGATGACTGCCTCTAAAGTCCCTAGAGGTCTCAAGTGACTGACTGCCCTTCTAAAGTCCCCAGAGTCTCCAGTGACTGACTGCCCTTCTAAGTCCCCAGAGGTCTCAGTGACTGACTGCCTTCTAAAGTCCCCAGAGGTCTCCAGTGACTGACTGCCCTTCTAAAGTCCCAGAGGTTCCAGTGACTGACTGCCTTCTAAAGTCCCCAGAGGTCTCCAGTGACTGACTGCCTTCTAAAGTCCCAGAGGTCTCGTGATGACGTGCCCTTCTAAAGTCCCCAGAGGTCTCCGTGACTGACTGCCTTCTAAATCCCAGAGGTCTCCAGTGACTGACTGCCTTCTAAAGTCCCCAGAGGTCTCCAGTGACCTGACTGCCCTTCTAAAGTCCCCAGAGGTCTCCAGTGACTGACTGCCCTTCTAAAGTCCCCAGAGGTCTCCAGTGACTGACTGCCTTCTAAAGTCCCCAAGGTCTCCAGTGACTGACTGCCCTTCTAAAGTCCCCATAGGTCTCCAGTGACTGACTGCCTTCTAAAGTCCCAGAGGTCTCCAGTGACCTGACTGCCCTTCTAAATCCCCAGAGGTCTCCAGTGACTGACTGCCCTCTAAAGTCCCCAGAGGTCTCCAGTGACTGACTGCCTCTTCTAAAGTCCCCAGAGGTCTCCAGTGACTGACTGCCCTTCTAAAGTCCCCAGAGGTCTCCAGTGACTGCTGCCTTCTAAGTCCCCAGAGGTCTCCAGTGACTGACTGCCCTTCCTAAGTCCCCAGAGGTCTCCATGACTGACTGCCCTCTAAAGTCCCCAGAGGTCTCCAGTGACTGACTGCCCTTCTAAAGTCCCCAGAGGTCTCCAGTGACTGACTGCCCTTCTAAAGTCCCCAGAGGTCTCCAGTGACTGACTGCCTTCTAAAGTCCCCAGAGGTCTCCAGTGACTGACTGCCCTTCTAAAGTCCCCAGAGGTCTCCAGTGACTGACTGCCCTTCTAAAGTCCCCAGAGGTCTCCAGTGACTGACTGCCTTCTAAAGTCCCCAGAGGTCTCCAGTGACTGACTGCCCTTCTAAAGTCCCCAGAGGTCTCCGGTGACTGACTGCCCTTTTAAAGTCCCCAGAGGTCTCCAGTGACTGACTGCCCTTCTAAAGTCCCCAGAGGTCTCCAGTGACGGACTGCCCTTCTAAAGTCCCCAGAGGTCTCCAGTGGACTGACTGCCCTTCTAAAGTCCCCAGAGGTCTCCAGTGACTGACTGCCTTCTAAAGTCCCCAGAGGTCTCCAGTGATGACTGCCCTTCTAAAGTCCCCAGAGGTCTCCAGTGACTGACTGCCCTTCCTAAAGTACCCCAAGAGGTCTCCATGACTGGACTGTACCTTCTAAAGTCCCCAGAGGTCTCCAGTGACTGACTGCCCTTCTAAAGTCCCCAGAGGTCTCCAGTGACTGACTTCCCCTCTAAAGTACTACATACAGGACCAGTCAAAAGTTTGGACACACCTACTCATTCCAGGGTTTTTCTTTATTTTTACTATTTTCTACATTGTAGAATAATAGTGAAGACATCAAAACTGTGAAATAACACATATGACCGGTGTAAATCTGTCCTTTGGTCTGATGAGTCCAAATTTGAGATTTTTGGTTCCAACCTCCGTGTCTTTGTGAGACGCAGAGTAGGTGAACGGATGATCTCTGCATGTGTGGTCCCACCGTGAAGCATGGAGGAGGTGTGATGATGTGGGGGTGCTTTGCTGGTGACACTGTGATTGATTTAGAATTCAAGGCACATTTAACCAGCATGGCTACCACAGCATTCTGCAGTTATACGCCATCCCATCTGGTTTGCGCTTAGTGGGACTATCATTTGTTTTTCAAACTTTTGACTGGTACTGTACATCATGACTACATACAGACTACAATTCAAAATCAAATCAAATCAAATGTTATTGGTCACATACACGTGTTTAGCAGATGTTATAGTGGGTGTAGCGAAATGCTTGTGCTTCTAGCTCCAACAGTGCAGTAATATCTAACAAGTAATATCTAACAATTTCACAACATATACCCAATACACAAAAATCTAAGTAAGGTATGATTTAAGAATATATACATATATGGACGAGCGATGTCAGAGCGGCATGGACTAAGATACTGTAGAATATGATAAAATACAGTATGTACATTTGAGATGAGTAATGCAAGATATGTAAACATTATTAAAGTGACTAAGATACTGTAGAATATTATAAAATGCAGTATATACATATGAGATGAGTAGTCCAAGATATGTAAACATTATTAAAGTGACTAGTGTTCCATTTCTTAAAGTGGCCAGTGATTTCAATAGGCAGCAGCAGCCTCTAATGTGCTAGTGATGGCTATTTAACAGTCTGATGGCCTTGAGATAGAAGCTGTTTTTCAGTCTCTCGGTCCCAGCGTTGATGTACCTGTACTGACCTCGCCTTCTGGAAGATAGCGGGGTGAACAGGCAGTGGCTCGGGTGGTTGATGTCCTTGATGATCTTTTTGTCCTTCCTGTGACATCGGGTGCTGTAGGTATCCTACGTACATATACATCATGACTACATGTTAAGAAGGACGCCTGTGTCTTTGTAGTGACTGGGTGTATTGATACACCCTCCAAAGTGTAATTAATAACTTCACCATGCTCAATGGGATATTCATTATCTACCAATAGTTGCCCTTCTTTGCAAGGCATTGGAAAACATCCCTGGTCTTTGTGGTTGAATCTGTGTTTGAAATTCACTGCACGACTGAGGGACCTTACAGATAATTGTATGTATGGGGTATAGAGATTAGGTAGTCATTCAAAAATAATGTTAAACACTATTATTGCACACAGTGAGTCCAGGAAACTTATTATGTGACTTGTTAAGTACATTTTTTACTCCTGAACTTATTCATGCTTGCCATAACAAAGGGGTTGAACACTTATTGACTCAAGACATTTCAGATGTTAATTTCTAAAAACATAATTCCACTTTGAATTTATGAGGTATTGTGTGAAGGCCAGTGACACACAATCTCAATTTAATCCAGTTAGAATTCAGTGGAAAAGGTCAAGGGGTGTGAATACTTTCTGAATGCACTGTACGGACCAAATAAAAGAAACACCAACTTAATGAATCTTAACAGGGCATTGGGCCACCCAGAGCCACTACAGCTTATGATCTAAGACTGCCTTCTGCCCACAAGGCCTAACCAGGGCTAGAGAGCTCCGTGTTTTCATTATCTTCTTGGGAGGGCAACAGTGCATTATGAGATCATTCATACCACAAACACTCACTAGGCATCTTTAGAGAGGCAATTGCAGGGAGGATGGAGGGTGGGACAGAGGAGGAGGGCTTTCAAACTTTGGCTACATCACCGAATAGTCAGTCCTCAGGCATGCTTGTAGCCCAGTCAGTGGATGGATACTGCATAGAGGACGTCTAATAGACCAGGGTGTTATAGGGGTCTAATAGACCAGGGTGTTATAGGGGTCTAATAGACCAGGGTGTTATAGGGGTCTAATAGACCAGGGTGTTATATTGGTCTAATAGACCAGGGTGTTATAGTGGTCTAATAGACCAGGGTGTTATAGGGGTCTAATAGACCAGGGTGTTATAGGGGTCTAATAGACCAGGGTGTTATAGGGGTCTAATAGACCAGTGTGTTATAGGGGTCTAATAGACCAGGGTGTTATAGGGGTCTAATAGACCAGGGTGTTATAGGGGTCTAATAGACCAGGGTGTTATAGGCGTCTAATAGACCAGGGTGTTATAGGGGTCTAATAGACCAGGGTGTTATAGGGGTCTAATAGACCAGGGTGTTATAGGGGTCTAATAGACCAGGGTGTTATAGGGGTCTAATAGACCAGGGTGTTATAGGGGTCTAATAGACCAGGGTGTTATAGGGGTCTAATAGACCAGGGTGTTATAGGGGTCTAATAGACCAGGGTGTTATAGGGGTCTAATAGACCAGGGTGTTATAGGGGTCTAATAGACCAGGGTGTTATAGGGGTCTAATAGACCAGGGTGTTATAGGGGTCTAATAGACCAGGGTGTTATAGGGGTCTAATAGACCAGGGTGTTATAGGGGTCTAATAGACCAGGGTGTTATAGGGGTCTAATAGACCAGGGTGTTATAGGGGTCTAATAGACCAGGGTGTTATAGGGGTCTAATAGACCAGGGTGTTATAGGGGTCTAATAGACCAGGGTGTTATAGGGGTCTAATAGACCAGGGTGTTATAGGGGTCTAATAGACCAGGGTGTTATAGGGGTCTAATAGACCAGGGTGTTATAGGGGTCTAATAGACCAGGGTGTTATAGGGGTCTAATAGACCAGGGTGTTATAGGGGTCTAATAGACTAGGGTGTTATAGGGGTCTAATAGACCAGGGTGTTATAGGGGTCTAATAGACCAGGGTGTTATAGGGGTCTACTCTGCCAGAGGACAGCACAGCACCTGGTACACATCTTAACAGGACTTTTCTTCCAGCCTCTGGACCGCAGGCAAACAACACAACACACCGCCTCCGCAAGCAAAAACAATAGTTGTTAATCTAAATGTTTACTCACTATGTGGAAAACTCTCCATTAGAGATGGAAATGCTGCTGTTTTACACATAAAAAATCCTTCCATTTCTCAATTCATTCGTCGGTTCTTTACACTGTACTGGTGGTGAAGTGGAACAGCAGGGTTAGAGTACTTGAGGGATTGCCATGTGCTTAATCCAGGACTGCTGTCTGTTCAAAGCCCTCAGCTGTCAGACATGGCTTCTGTTGAATGTTGTAGTTTGCTATCTGGACCAAATGATATATACATGGGGCACTATAGGATTTCTGGAGGTTATTGTATCCGTTTTTGGTTACACACAAACCCCCCCCCAGTATGTTCAGAGTCTATCTCTGATTTTAAGCTGCAGCACATTAAATTACTATTATGACTTCATCTTGAAACCAGAGCTGTTTTAAAAGCGTCATTAAGCAGGTCAGAGCCAGGGAGCAGCCAGGTGGCGGTCTGCTGAATGAGGGGAGGTCTACAACCAAGCCATGACTCACCTACTAATGGATGGATTGTTCTAGAAACACAACTTTTCTTTCTCCTATTACAGGTCAAGTAAAAAGATCTCCCTTTAATTGTGTAACATAGATGTGGTTGGATCAGCTTGTTGTCATCCTTCTGATCAGGTCAGTAGCTAAAGGTCAAGTGAGAAAGTACATTTTTTAGGAACACAGCTGTTCCCGTCCTCTCCTCCTTGCAAATGTTTTCTCTGCTGTTGTGCCAACTCAATAACATCCACCCCTCCTCATTCTCAAATTCAGTGAACCTCCCCCACTCCTGTCGTTCACATCAGTCAGTCTACTATCAGCAGTGATCTGGATCTAACCATCTAGAGACGGGGGAGGGGGTGTTCTAGAGGTCAGTAATCTGGGTCCAACCATCTAGAGACTGGGGGGGGGGGGGGGTGTTCTAGAGGTCAGGGTGTTCTAGAGGTCAGGGTGTTCTAGAGGTCAGGGTGTTCTAGAGGTCAGGGTGTTCTAGATGACAGGGTGTTCTAGAGGTCAGGGTGTTCTAGAGGTCAGGGTGTTCTAGATGACAGGGTGTTCTAGAGGTCAGGGTGTTCTAGAGGTCAGGGTGTTCTAGAGGTCAGGGTGTTCTAGAGGTCAGGGTGTTCTAGAGGTCAGGGTGTTCTAGAGGTCAGGGTGTTGTAGAGGTCAGGGTGTTCTAGATGACAGGGTGTTCTAGAGGTCAGGGTGTTCTAGAGGTCCGGGTGTTCTAGAGGTCAGGGTGTTCTAGATGACAGGGTGTTCTAGAGGTCAGGGTGTTCTAGAGGTCCGGGTGTTCTAGAGGTCAGGGTGTTCTAGAGGTCAGGGTGTTCTAGAGGTCAGGGTGTTCTAGAGGTCAGGGTGTTCTAGAGGTCAGGGTGTTCTAGAGGTCAGGGTGTTCTAGAGGTCCGGGTGTTCTAGAGGTCAGGGTGTTCTAGAGGTCAGGGTGTTCTAGAGGTCAGGGTGTTCTAGAGGTCAGGGTGTTCTAGATGACAGGGTGTTCTAGAGGTCAGGGTGTTCTAGAGGTCAGGGTGTTCTAGAGGTCAGGGTGTTCTAGAGGTCAGGGTGTTCTAGAGGTCAGGGTGTTCTAGAGGTCAGGGTGTTCTAGAGGTCAGGGTGTTCTAGAGGTCAGGGTGTTCTAGAGGTCAGACCTGTGCCTATCCTTCACCTCCTGCAGTTGTCAAGACAACATTCTAGTGAAAGAGTTGATCGGTTGTTTTCTGCCACCGCATAGGCTACAGCCTCCTGCCAACTGTTCCTGGAGCAGTGGGTGTCTGACAGACAGCTGGGAAAGAGGGGAGACAGAGAGCTAGAAATACATTCACTCCTGAATAGAGGGACGGCATGCATACATGCTGTATATCTCTCTCATACTGAAGAGCTTTCATCACTATATGGAGGACATCCTCGAAACATCCTGTTTTTAACTTGCAGGGAACATCATCTATTGCGCTTTTGAACTAGAGAAAGACAGGTGACCTCTAATCGCCGTAGGCAGACCTGGCTCTCAAGGGAAGACAGGCGATGTGCACACTACCCACAAAAGGAGGTGGAAACTGAGCTGCACTTCCTAACCTCCTGCCAAATGTATGACCATATTAGAGACATATTTCCCTCAGATTACACAGACCCACAAAGATATTCATTGTGTGAAATACCACAGTTTGCAATCACAGAAGCAAGATTTGTGACCTGTTGCCACAAGAAAAGGGCATCCAGTGAAGAACAAAACCATTGTAAATACATCCCATATTTATGTTGATTTATTTTCCCTTTTGTACATCATTACAACACTGTATATAGACATAATATGACATTTGAAATGTCTTTATTCTTTTGGAACTTCTGAATGTAATGTTTACTGTTAACAATAATTAAAAAAATTATTTGTTTATCGTTTGTTTATTATCTATTTCACTTGCTTTGGCAATGTAAACATATGTTAGAGAGAGAGAAAAGAGAGCGAGAGATAGAGAGAGAGCAGAGAGAGAGACACACACTGCCAGAGAGGTGGTGACTTCATTCCCCTCTCTTTCACAAAACCTCCCCCTTTTCCCCTCCTGTCCTTCCCCTCCATTTTCCTCCTCCTCCTTCTCCTCTCTCTCTGTGTGTCAGGGTGTTTCAGCAGCATTATGCCTGCAGTGTTCCTACTGCTCAGAACCCTCCTCTCCAGTGGACTGATAGGATCCCTGCTCCAGTTCCTCAGGAGGACTCTGTTCTCCACCTTCAGCCACGTGGGAGCCGCGCTGCGCTACGTCTGGGACAGGATCAGCTCTCAGGAGTCTAAAGAAGCCATCCTGGGCTGTGCTGTGTCTCCTTAACATGCACAAGAAGATGTATCAGCCAGCAGCTAAGTCTCACTGAGTCACTCTCTTGGCTTCAGAAAGAAAGAGAGAGGACAAGAGAGAGAGAGAGAGAGAGAGAGAGAGAGAGAGAGAGAGAGAGAGAGAGAGAGAGAGAGAGAGAGAGAGGAGAGAGGGAGCTTTCTCCTCTTTTTTCAGTTTGTTTAGTGAAAGAGTGAAAGAGAACAAGAGAAGAAGTGAGGGATGCAGAGTGAAACTTGAATAGCTTTCATTTGGACTGTAATATTTATCTTAGTAGAGCACGCAGAGCGGAGCTCCCTGATTCAGGTGAATGAGACTGTATTTCTCTGTGTGGACCGTGTCGTACCGCTGGGCTAACCATGTCAGAGAGCATCGTCAGGAAGGTCCAACCCTTCACCATCAGAACCAGGCTGTCCGTCTCTGGACCTGCCACCAGGTCTAAAGGTCCAGACTTCCCCCAGCAGAGCGGGACTCTGGGTAATATCACCCTGCAGACCAACCTCCACGACCGGGTCTCCCTCTACCTCAGCCAGGTGCAGGTGTGTATGACTGCTCCTCATCTAGTTCCCCTCGCTAACCGGACCACCCCAACATCTGTACCTGTCAAACAGCAGCATGAGGACCACCGGAACCAGAAGGCCATGTCTGAGTCTCCCAACTCCCATCGGAGCGCTGTCTCTCCTGTCTCCGTCTCTCCTACCACCGCATCCAGATCCATCAGGAAGATCACCATCTCTGGGAGTCCAGAGGAGGAGGACAGCTCCTGGAGGAGACAGGAGGAGTCAGACCACAGGGTGGTCATTGAGAAGGAGGACAGCTCCTGGAGGAGACAGGAAGAGTCAGACCACAGGGTGGTCATTGAGAAGGAGGACAGCTCCTGGAGGAGACAGGAAGAGTCAGACCACAGGGTGGTCATTGAGAAGGAGGACAGCTCCTGGAGGAGACAGGAAGAGTCAGACCACAGGGTGGTCAGTATAGGACCAGGACGACCCCCTATCACAGGGACCCCCGGATCAGAAAACATCATCATCAACAACAACAACAACAACAACAACATCAGCAGCTCCAAGCCACAGATGCCCCGGATACTGGGAGTCACCTGTGAGAACAAAGCCAGCTCACATTTTAAGGTAGGATACTTCTCTTTTAATGTTACACAACATCAATGCTTTTGACTAGATGTTTAATGTGGTTGTGTCATCAGATTGCAGAATAGCTTACGTGTCTATTTAGTTTAATGAATAGCCTTGAACTGATAGACTCTTCAAGCCAATAGATGCCTAGTAGAGTAGCCTAATCCACAATATATTTACACATGGATATACAGGTTCATAGTTATCAAATGAAATATAATTAGTTTTTCACTCAAAGATGGACTGGAATGACATTTCTGTCTGTGGAATATATTGTGTGCTAGACACTCATTTTTCATATGAGTATGAATATCAGCTATAGAAAATGTGGTCAATCAATTTAATAATCGCACACACCGTTCCCATTGTCGAAAATGTCAAAATGACTGCTGTTCGGAAAGGCGATCTCTTCCTGTTTAGCAGGGTTTGGTGTCAGGGTGTTTTGAAGGGTTTGGTGTCAGGGTGTTTTGAAGGGTTTGGTGTCAGGGTGTTTTGAAGGGTTTGGTGTCAGGGTGTTTTGCAGGGTTTGGTGTCAGGGTGTTTTGAAGGGTGTGGTGTCAGGGTGTTTTGAAAGGTTGGTGTCAGGGTGTTTTGAAGGGTGTGGTGTCAGGGGGTTTTGCAGGGTGTTGTGTCAGGGTGTTTTGCAGGGTGTTGTGTCAGGGGGTTTTGCAGGGTGTTGTGTCAGGGTGTTTTGCAGGGTGTTGTGTCAGGGGTGTTTGCAGGGTGTTGTGTGTCAGGGTGTTTTGCAAGGGTGTGGTGTCAGGGGGTTTTGCAGGGTGTGTGTGTCAGGGGGTTTTGCAGGGTGTTGTGTCAGGGGGTTTTGCAGGGTGTGTGTCAGGGTGTTTTGCAGGGTGTGTGTGTCAGGGTGTTTGCAGGGTGTGTGTCAGGGTGTTTTTGTCAGGGTGTTGTGTCAGTGGTTTTGCAGGTTTGTGTCAGGGTGTTTTGCAGGGTGTGGTGTCAGGGGTGTTTGCAGGGTGTTGTGTCAGGGTGTTTTCATTTACATTTGTAGTCTTTAGCGACGTCTTATCGAGCGATACGTTGTGGTGTACATTGTTTTGCATTTTCATACTGCCCCTTTGGGATGACCCACCTGGTTGCAAGCCTGTCTAAGGTCTCCGGCCATTCCTCCCCTACTGGACGTCTTTGCGGGCTTTGGCGCCCAGGGTCCGTTCTCGCGGCTACGCGGCTGATGACCAGGCTCAGTGGCAAGCTCACGGATGCAGTGCTTAGCCACTGCGCCATCGAGGCGTGTGGTGTCAGGTGTTTTTGCAGGGTGTGGTGTCAGGGTGTTTTGCAGGGTGTTGGTGTCAGGGTGTTTTGCAGGGTGTGGTGTCAGGGTGTTTTGCAGGGTGTGGTGTCAGGGTGTTTTGCAGGGTGTGGTGTCAGGGTGTTTTGCAGGGTGTTGTGTCAGGTGTTTTTTGTAGGGTGTGGTGTCAGTGAGTTTTGCAAGGTTTGGTGTCAGGGGTTTTGCAGGGTTTGGTGTCAAGGCACGCAGTGATTCAATGTCAAGCTCATACACAAGAAGTGTTGTGCATCTTCTCCACTTTGACAGGAGTTGATGCATGCTTTTTAGCGAAACTGGTGCGTGTCAGGAGTTTATCAGGCTGTTAAGGGTGAGGAGTTTTGGCAGTTTGCGGAGTTTGCTACGTTTGGTGTCATAGTTGAACAGCAGTGCATTAAAGCAATACCAGTTCTCCAAGAGTGTTATGTCATCCTCACTTGCCAATTTCACATGAGTGTTCTGACATGATTATTAGTTAGGTTTGTGAATAAATCTGGCCTTAGAACATGCCTTGTTGATAGTGTTTAAGAAGGTAGAGTAGCGCTTTATTATGGACAGACTTCTCCCCATCTTAGCTACTGTTGTATCAGTATGTTTTGAACATGACAGTTTACAATCCAGGGTTACTCCAAGCAGTTTAGTCTCCTCAACTTGCTCAATTTCCACATTATTTATTACAAGATTTAGTTGAGGTTTAGGGTTTAGTGAATGATTTGCCCCAAATACAATGCTTTTAGTTTTAGAAATATTTAGGACTCACTTATTCCTTGCCACCCACTCTGAAACTAACTGCAACTCTTTGTTAAGTGTTGCAGTTATTTCAGTCGCTGTAGTAGCTGACATGTATAGTGTTGAGTCCTCCGCATACATAGACACACTGGCTTTACTCAAAGCTAGTGGCATGTCATTAGTAAAGATTGAAAAAAGTAAGGGCCTAGACAGCTGCCCTGGGGAATTCCTGATTCTACCTGGATTATGTTGGAGAGGCTTCCACTAAAGAACACCCTCTGTGTTCTGTTAGACAGGTAACTCTTATCCACATTATAGCAGGGGGTGTAAAGCCATAACACATACACTACCGTTCAAAAGTTTGGGGTCATTTAGACATTTCCTTGTTTTCAATGAAAACATGCATGAAATGAGTTTGAATAGGAAATATAGCAAAATGCATAGGAAATGTAGTCATTGACAAGGTTAGAAATAATTATTTTTAATATAAATAATAATTGTGTCCTTCAAACTTTGCTTTCGTCAAAGAATCCTCCATTTGCAGCAATTACAGCCTTGCAGACCTTACAGCCTTGCATTCTAGTTGTCAATTTGTTGAGGTAATTTGAAGAGATTTCCTGAGTCCCCTGTAGCTCAGTTGGTAGAACATGGCGCTTGCGATGCCAGGGTTGTGGGTTCGTTTCCCACAGGGGCCAGTATGAAAATGTATGCACTTACTAACTGTAAGTCGCTCTGGATAAGAGCGTCTGCTAAATGACTAAAATGTAAATGTAAAGATTTCACCCCATGCTTACTGAAGCACCTCCCACAAGTTGGATTGGCTTGATGGGCACTTCTTACGTACCATACGGTCAAGCTGCTCCCACAACAGCTCAATAGGGTTGAGGTCCGGTGACTGTGCTGGCCACTCCATTATAGACAGAATACCAGCTGACTGCTTCTTCCCTAAATAGTTATTGCATAGTTTGGAGCTGTGCTTTGGGTCATTGTCCTGTTGTAGGAGGAAAATTGCATGGCGTTGCAAAATGGAGTGATAGCCTTCCTTCTTCAAGATCCCCTTTACCCTGTACAAATCTCCCACTTTACCACCACCAAAGCACCCCCAGACCATTATATTGCCTCCACCATGCTTGACAGATGGCATCAACCACTCCTCCAGCATCTTTTCATTTGGTCTGTGTATCACAAATGTTCTTCTTTGTGATCCGAACACCTCAAACTTCCATTTGTCTGTCCATAACACTTTTTTCCAATATTCCTCTGTCCAGTGTCTGTGTTCTTTTGCCCATCTTAATCTTTTATTTTTATTGGCCAATCTGAGATATGGATTTTTCTTTGCAACTCTGCCTAGAAGGTCAGCATCCCGGAGTCACCTCTTCACTGTTGACGTTGAGACTGGTGTTTTGCGGGTACTATTTAATGAAGCTGCCAGTTGAGGACCTGTGAGGCGTCTGTTTCTCAAACTAGACACTCATGTATTTGTCCTCTTGCTCAGTTGTGCACTGGGACCTCCCACTCCTCTTTCTATTCTGGTTAGAGACAGTTTTGCGCTGTTCTGTGAAGGCAGTAGTACACAGCGTTGTACGAGATCTTCAGTTTCTTGGCAATTTCTCGCATGGAATAGCCTTCATTTCTCAGAACAAGAATAGACTGACTAGTTTCAGAAGAAAGTTCTTTGTTTCTGGCCATTTTGATCCTGTAATCAAATCCACAATTGCTGATGCTCCATATACTCAACTAGTCGCAAGAAGGCCAGTTTTATTGCTTCTTTAATCAGCCCAACAGTTTTCAGCTGTGCTAACATAATTGCAAAATGGTTTTCTAATGATCAATTAGCCTTTTAAAATAATCAACTTGGATTAGCAAACACAACGTGCCATTGGAACACAGGACTGATGGTTGCTGATAATGGGCCTCTGTACACCTATGCTACAATAGCCATTTACAACATTAACAATGTCTACACTGTATTTCTGATCATTTGATGTTAATTGAATGGACAAAGAAAATTGCTTTTCTTTCGAAACAAGGACATTTCTAAGTGACCTGAAACTTTTGAACAGTAGTGTACGTTTTTCCAGCATCAGACGATTATCGATAATGTCAAAATCCGCACTGAAGTCTAACAAAACAGCCCCCACAATCTTTTTATCATCAATTTCTCTCAGCCAATCATCAGTCATTTGTGTAAGTGGTTGTTGAATGTCCTTTCCTATAAGCATGCTGAAAGTTTGTAAAATAACATTGTTTCTGGTCAAACAATTGTTTTTCAAAATGTTTACTAAGGGTTGGTAACAGGCTAATTGGTCGGCTATTTGAGCCAGTAAAGGGGGCTTTACTATTCTTAGGTAGCGGAATGACTTTTGCTTCCCTTCAGGCCTGAGGGCACACATTCTAATAGGCTTAAATTGAAGAAATGGCAAATAGGAGTGGCAATATCGTCCACTATTATCCTCAGTAATTTTCCATCCAAGTTGTCAGACCCCGGTGGCTTGTCATTATTGATAGACAACAATACTTTTTTCACATCTTCCACACTCACTTTACGGAATTTAAAATTACAATGCTTGTCTTTCATAATTTGGTCAGATATACTTGGATGTGTAGTTTCAGCATTTGTTGCTGGCAAGTCATGCCTTAGTTTGCTAATCTTGCCAAAAAATCATTCAAGTAGCAGGCAAAATCAGTTGATTTTGTGATGAATGAGCCATCTGATTCAATTAGCCTTTTTTCCAAAAATTTCATTGAAGGGGCTCCAAAGCGTTTTACTATCATTCTTTATGTCATTTATAGTCTCATAGTGTAGTTTCTTCTTCTTTTTATTCCGTTTAGTCACATGATTTCTCAATTTGCGTTACGTTTGCCAATTGGTTGTACAGTCAGACTTGTTTGCCATTCCTTTTGCCTCATCCCTCTCAACCCTACAATTTTTCAATTCCTCAACAATTCACAGGGATTTAACAGTTTTTACAGTCATCTTCTTAATGGGTGGATGCTTATTAGTAACTGAAATAAGCAATTTAATAAATGTGTCAAGTGCAGTGTCTGCTTGCTCCTCATTACACACCACGG